ATAGTAGGTAAAGGTAAGCCATGATACGACATATTGAAGAGAACAGATGTATCCATCGTACATATTGAAGAGAACAGATGTATCCATCGTCCTCGACGATGTCAGGCGACGTTATGATAAAAAGGAAACAAGGAAACAAAGAAAAGACGATAATTGGAAGGGGACAGAGGACAATGTTAAGAAGGGGAAAGAGATTGAATAATATTAAGATATGATTCTGGCAGAGAATGTGTATCATTTTGTTTGTTTATCCCATGTTTTTGTCTTTTAATGTGAACCATCTCCGATATCAGTCTCTTATTATAAGAAGCTTCTATGTCTAAAATTTCAACGTTACCCCAGACAAAATTATGATTCTGATCAATACGGTGATTGGTAATCACCGTTGGAGATTTTGACTTCTTATTAATATCGGAGACATATTCGTGTAATCTTGTCTTTAATTGTCTTTTTGTTTGACCTACGTAACTAACGTCGCAATCACCACAAGAGATTTTATAAACAACGTTTTGATTGCATAAAGGATCCAACTGGTCTTTGCTCTTTCTAATAAAATTCTTTAGTGAATTTGGGATAGAGAAAGCCAATTTACAGTGGAACCTATTAGCAATTAGAGTAAATTTTTCAGATACCGAATTCCGTTTCTTGTGGAAATTTCCGTTTCTTGTTGAAATTTCTCCTATTTTCAGTCTGAATTGTTGAAATGGCGTTGCGCGCTTCGTCTCGAAGCTGGTTACGTTTGTCTTGGAAAAGAATAGCGTTCTCCGTCTCCAGGATTTCTCTTATCTGTGGGTTTTCCTTCAGTCTCATTCGTGTTCCAAATAAAAGATGAAATGGAGCCATACCTGTGCTTCGGATCGGCACATGGTTGAGATATTGTTGTGCACTTCTTACAAACTTAAAACCATTGGGTCGGCTGTGTCATAGTCAGTTTAGTTAACAGTGGGATTAATATGCGGTTTACCCGCTCAACTTGGCCATTGCCCCTTGGAACACCTGTAACAATCAAGTCGTGTAGAATACCTTCGTCTGCACAGTAAGACTTGAAATCGTTAGATGTAAACGCAGATCCTTGGTCAGAAATTATACGTCTAGGATTTCCGAAAACAGCTGATTGCTGTATTAAGTGATCAAGAACTTCAGTTACACCGGTACTCTTTGTCGGATAAAGCCATACGTACTTGGTAAAAGCATCCACTATTACGAATATATATTGATACCTTTTCTGCGTCGATAGCATCGGGCCTAAGTGGTCTATATGATAGGTATCTAAAGGTGCATCTTTTTCAATGGAGTGAAGCCATCCTTCTTGCCTGCCCATTTTTTTAGCGGCCATAATACATTCGAGACAATTTTGAATTACCTTCTCGACTTTTGAATGCATGTCCTTGAACCAATAATCGGATTTCAGGAGTTGCTCTGTCTTCGCATTTCCAAAATGGCCACGGTCGTGAACCCTGCGTATCATTGGAGTTTGCATCAGCTTTGGTATAACAATTGGAACGTCGCCGTCAATCTTCTTGCATAATAATCCATTTTCTACAATAAACTTTTTCGTCTTTCCTTCCTCTACTTGCTTCCGGATGTCCTTCAATTCTGCATCCTCTGATTGATTTAAACGAAGTTTCGCCATCATACTGTCTTCGCATTCTTCTATCAACATAGCTGCAGGTAATGGGTGCCTACTTAAAGCGTCTACGTGCCGCATATTATTACCTGGACGATGTACAATTGAGTAACGGAAATTTTCAAGAAAAAGCGCCCATCTCGCTATCTGTGCGCAAATATCTTTTTTCTTCATTGTCTGCATGAACGCTTTACAATCAGTTACGATAGTGAATGAGAGAGATTTCGATTAAATACACTCTAAACTTTTTCAATGCTCGGACGACTGCTAATACTTCTAATTTATAGCTATCATATTTCGCTTCTGCTCGAGTAGTTCTACCGCTCGCGTAATATACCGGATGAAGCATACGGTCCTCACTATCGCGTTGTAATAATACTGCACCAAAATCGAGCGCGGATGCATCGGTGTGCAGTTCGGTCTCTGCCGTTGAACAATATAAGCGCAAAATGGGTTTATCACAGAGGGTTACTTTCAGTCGATCAAATACACGTTCTTGTTCTTTTCCAAAATCAAATTTTTCCTCTTTTCTTAGCAAATCGGTTAGCGGTCCCGCTACGTGCGCATACTGAGGTATGAATTTACGGAAATATCCCGTGAGACCCAAAAAACTCTGTACTGAACGTACATTTGTCGGCTTCGGAAAGTGTCTTACAGCGTCAGTTTTCTCTTGAGATGGTGTGATTTCCCCATTCTCCACCACATATCCTAAATAGTTTAATCTCGACTTTAATAATTGACACTTCTTCCAATTAAAAGATAATCCCTATGTAGTCGCTGTTTCAAGTACTCGCTTAAGTCGTGATAGACCCTTTTGTATGTCTACCGAAGGTATAATAATATCATCCATATATATAGCAACAATTCTTTCCGCCGTTAGGTCACGCATGACCGCATTAACGTATTTTTGAAAATATGCCGGGGAAGTACAAAGCCCAAACGGTATTTTCAAGAATTCGAAATGTCCGCTCGGGACAACAAAAGCGGTGTATTTTCGACTAGTTTCCTCGACTGGCACGTGGAAGAACCCGTTTTTCAAATCTAGAGTACTATATAATTTCGCGTCTTGTAAAAAATCTAGTTGATCTTCGATCAGAGGCAAGGGATAGTGATTCTTCACAATTTTCTCATTTAATTTTCGGTAGTCTACGCAAATTCTTGTTTCGTCGTTCTTTTTGTTTACTAAGCGATTGGGCGTAATCGGAACATGACGGCTGTATTACCCCCTCGTCAAGCCACGTGCGGATTTGCGAGTCTACTTCAGCTTTTTCTGCAACGGATAATCTACGTGCGCTCTATGTGACCGGAACATCATCAGTTATAACTATAGACATCTTGACATCTACCACTTCCTTCTTCTCAGGTCTATATTTTCTAACTAAATGCTTTATTTCTTCTTTCACGCGTTCGTTTTTAATATGTGATATATCCTTGTATCATTGTAGTAGTCCCCCCGACTACTTTGTCGTCTTGTACTATGTCGATTTTATAAACCTCGCTTAACTCGCTCGGATTGTACACGATCTTAGAAATATTCACAACTCCCCTTTTAATATTTACTTCGACGTTATTTAAAAAATCAGATCCTATTAACATGTCGTGAGGTATCATTCCGTCTTGAACGAGATGCACAATAATGTCGTAGATTTCTGCGTCAATACAAATTTTTAATCGCATATCGCCTAACGTTGCGTTTTCTCTTAAGCCTGCTCCTCGGAATTTTAGCGTGTAGTTCCCTAAAGTTGGAGATCCGATCTCTTTATACTTTTCCTAGCATATCAAGCTAATATCGCTACCCGAATCAATTATCGCATTCAGCTTTGTACCAGAATCATATCTTAATATTATTCAATCTCTTTCTTCTTCTTAACATTATCCTCTGTCCCCTTTCAATTAGCGTCTTTTCTTTGTTTCCTTGTTTCCTTTTTATCATAACGTCGCCTGATATCGTCGAAGACGATGGATACATGTGTTCTCTCCAATGTATCATGGCTTACCTTTACCCACTATACATGACTTAGTTAATTTTGCGTTTTTCTCTCAACATCTGACTCACATCATTACGACAAATCAAGGTATACTATATATATGTATGTAACTTAATTGTGGTACTAAATTACTATAAAATATACATACATACTTGATAATTTAATTTAAACTGTAACGCAATGTCAGTCTATTATTTTGAATTATTTATAAAATTGTAGATTTTTAAAAAATAAGATGAGATCACTTTTACGTCAGTCAAATGGTGCTAATTTTACATATAAACCACACACATCAAATAATAGAGAATACGGAAATAACCGATATGTTTTACTGGATACTGTAATCTGACCGAATACTCCGACAACTTATGTAATGTTATTTGTGTTTACATTGAAAATGACCCGATCGGCGTTGAAATGTTTGTACGAATATTAAATATTCTTTATATTGTAACTGGCTCGTAGCCCTTCTTTTATTTATTGATTTATTCTGATTGAGCCATATTAATAATTTATTTTATAAAATTGAATACTTTACCTTTAATGGAGCGCCATTGCATATTATACGCAGATGAAATGAGCTTGAAAAGCTTTTTATTTTATGATGTATCGCGGGATGAAATAATTGATTTTGAAGATTTTGGTGATAGGAAAACATTCGTACCCGCAAAAAGTGCATTAGTTATAATGGCACGCAGCATTGCAGGAAACTGGAAACTGCCAATTTGTTTTTGCTTTATAGAAACTGCATGTCCTACATTTTTAAAAAATATTATATTCGACATCATTATCAAATTAAAAAACAATGGTGCTTTGGTGCATGCTTTTATTTCTGATATGGGTTCAAATTTTATCCAACTATTCCATATGTTGAATATTTCGGTAGACAATTCAAGTTTTGTAGTTGATGGAGAAAGTATTGTATATTTGACACTCCACATTTATTAAAAGTAACTCGAAACAATTTACAACATTAAAATACAATTTTTAAATAGATAATAAAATAGCTTCGTGGGTTCATATTGTAGAATTTTATAATACAAAAGGAACAGCAAACAATGGATAAAAACAGATCCAGCTTTAACAAATTCTCATATTGAACCGAATAACTTTTTAAGGATGAAAGTTAAATATGCTGCACAAATATTTAGTAACCATGTAGCAGCAGGCATGTGCACATAGATGTCTTCTAGTTTTCTTGCAACTGAAGCAATTGGAACTATAGACTTGATCGATCATTTTGATAAATTATTTGATATATTAAATTCATCCGATGTAAATAATCCTAAAGAATATGGAAAAGTTTTTATTGGAAGTAATAAACAAATGCAATTTTTACAAGACATGTTGAATTTCTTAAAATGTATCAAAGTAATTAAGACTAACAATAAATATGTAAAATTAAAATGCTTAGATTGCTGGCAGATCACAATTAAGAATATAATTGAACTTTGGAAGACTTTAAAAACCTTTAATTTTCCATATCTCCAAACACGCAGAATAAATCAAGATCCTATTGAAAATTTTTTTGACTCTGTTCGGCAACAAGATCGTAATTGCCTTAATCCGACACCTATACAGTTCAAGCGTGCTTTTACAATATTATTCAGTATGAAATTATTAAAACATTCGGAAACGCAAAATTGTACTAATGATAATTTACGATAATTAACGATGATTTATTAAATATTATTGGAACGTCAAATAATACAGAGACGTCCACAATTTCAGAAGTTCCATCGTCAGCAAACAAAATTTTAAAAATTCCTGTACATGATTATCGCTCAATGGATCTACCAGAGGAAAATGCATTTAAATATGTTTGTGGCTTTTTAGTAAAAAAATGTATAGCAATACATTCATATGATGCGTGTCATAATTTTGTAAATGAAAATAAAGCTGTCTTAGATAACACACTATAATGTTCTGTAACAACCTAACTTTTTAAGCGCGGACGTAGCTCGTCGGAGCCTCTCGGCGCGGGGCTTGAAAGAGGTTCGAGCAGGAGAGGTGAGATGTAGTTACGCGGGCGGTTGATTATAATGAGCACAGGCGCAGTGAAAGTTAATAACAATCTTTATTATGACATTAAAAACTGAAATATTTACACATGACAGAACAATTAATTATATATAATAGACAACACGCGTACGCTAATTCGATCGAGAACGCTGTCGCGGATTCGTATATACGATGTAATGCGTGCGTATCACACGACGGGTCGCTCCGGATTCGTCGGTCGCGGGACGCAGAAACGCGCCAGCCAATCCGG